CAGCAGGGTAGACTCTTTTAATAACTACTGTAAACCTCCAAAATATTTTGAGTCATGTTATATCGTTATAATTTTACAGAATTAGACTCATCAAATTGGTGAAAACGTGAATTATTAACATGAGAATGGTTTCCCACAATTTCTTTAGATACACAATGGTTTATTGATTGTATTAAACATCAAGATATTATACAAATAAAATCAAAAATAATTGAATTATCTGTATTAGTTATTTATTTGTAAGCAGTACGTTCATTTAGTGATAAAATGAATCCTATTTTATTTACATGGTTTCCTGTTTGTTTTGCATTTATTATACTTATTTTAAAAAAATGTTTATGTTCAACATCGAATTATTATATGGAGAGTCGACAATCCTATCAAACCGTTAGTACATTAGATGACAATGATGAGAGTAATCATCGATCCAATAGAGCTGATGATCATTCTGGAAAAATTTTGGATAAACAACATCGAGATAGAACAGATCAACAAAGAAAAAATAATTAAAATTATGATTTGGATGTGAATATGTCTAGTCAATCAATATAGTATTTATCTTCAAATCTAATTAATTATATGTTAAATAAATTCATGAGTCTCGATGATAGTTAACGAATATGGTTTTAATCTCATGTTTTTATTTTGTTCGTTGTTAAATTCATTCTTTTTTTCTTATTCTAATTATCGTCAAACGATCTTTTTATTTTATTCATGTTTTATTGTTATCTGAGAAATTGCTTACTGAGAGAGAATTTTTTTTAATCCACATACAAAAAACAAAGGCTACAGAGAGGACTAAAAAGCTCAATTGTCGAGTACTTAGAGCATACCAAGAGTAGTGGTGTTGGTACTGCAGTTCCTTATAAAAAGCTTAAGAAACTTTCTTTCTATATAGTCTGATAGAGAAAAGAATGCTCTATTTTTCTATGCTATTTGATCATACTTCAACTAATATCATAATAATAAAATTTCGACAACATCTGCTTCGGTCGCATGTGTGACGGTTATATGAATGCTCATTTCGAAAAAAGCAAATGAGTATTTTTTGGATAACTTTCGACAGAAACAAGATAGAGAGTTGCGGTTTCACCGTTGGAAAGAGGAGATGAAGATCCATCGAATCCTATATCACAGGTTTTCCTGACCTACTTTTTATAGGGTTTTCAATTGACCTTTTTAAGAATAAACCTATCCCGTAAGTTGTTAACAGTGAATTTGCAATTATCAGGTGTATACAGTTTGATAGAGTAAAATATTTTGAGTAAAATGGTATATCGCTCGAAAATAGCATATAGAGAAGTCACTTTTCCAAAAACGCGCTTTTGCTAGAGCGAATTAAATTCTAGAGTTCCTCACCAGAGGTTTTTCAAAAGTTTCTTTCTTTGGTTCTTACATTAAATTTTAATATTTCATATTTTTGAATTTTGAAATCAAACAAATAAACTTTTGTAAATGGAAAGATGTCGCTTAAAGTACTTGTTGAATCTCATTTCCTAGTTGTAGCCGTACTTCTTCCTTATGTGAAGTAGAGGTAAAGCGATCACTTTTAGGCTGATCTGTATTAATTGTGAATGAAAGTGCAGAGATACTTTTCAAAGAATCAATTGGCTGATATTCAAAGTTACGCAGTTTTGACTTTATATGCCTATATGACTATATATATATATGACATAGCGGAGCAGAGAATGGTCAAATGTCTGATTTTCATGTCATGATACATGCAATTCAAAATTCACAGCTAGTTTCTGCAGTCGAATGCGAATCAAAAGAATCATAAATTAAAATTCGGCGGTAACTAGATAGTACTCATATGCTACTGAGTTTTGCAATCCCGGCAGGCGTAACCGACGGGCGTCGAGCCAAAAAGCGAATGGATAATTTCAATCTCAGAATTGAAGAAATTGAATTCAATAACCACGGTTTTTAAGTTGGAACGTGTATCAGACGTTAGAATTGGCTAATGTGTTTATGTTTAATTTGGTGTATGATAATTTTTTGGTCCATGCCCAAACTCCGCACACTCATTCACACCCATCATCGTTGAAGATCCTTTGATCTCAATTTGAAATTATTTAAAAGAAGCAGACTCGGATTCCACTCATTTATTAAGGTATCTGCACACAAACACACATCTGAAACCGATCTCAGGAACTGTCCGTCCTGTCTGGTCGAAACGTTCAAGAGATGTTGATCTTACCATAGTGCAGCTAACGATATAATAGTTTAGAGTACATCTGTTAGTGTGCGCGACATATCGCGCATACCTGAGTCACCAATTTAATGTTTATTCAGTCATATAGTTGAATCACTGTATTTACCATACAGAGAAAACGTATCGTTTTTCATATTAATAGATCAAAGAATTAAGTGAATTCTCCTGTTTTTCATAAAAGTTCCTTGGACACAGATACCACAACTTACATTTGCGAAATTCTCTTTTCGCTTTTTATCTTGGCTCTCTGCATTTCAGACAATGTTTTAAGATTTATAAATTTCGTCGTAACAAAAAAACGGAATTTGTTGACTTATTCAAATGGATATGTTTTTATTTGCTCTTTTATTTTTAATTATTGCTTGTATTCTGTTACAATTATACACTAGACAAGTACAAACACAAAGTAAAGATGCAAATTATAAAAAATTTCAACAAACGTATTTACTTGTTTATCTTCTTGCTGCCGGTAAAAATCACACAATACATGTTTAGTCAGAATCAAAAGTAATATTAATGACTGTATTCTGTTTCTTTTGTGAAGGTGGTGATTGGCTTCAAGGCCCATATGTTTATGCATTGTATGAAAGTTATAGTATTCCAAAACATGAAATTGAAATATTGTTCATCGCTGGATTTGGATCATCAATGATATTTGGAACAATCGTTGCGTCACTGGCAGATAAATAGTAAGATTTTGTGTTTAATAACTGTTTGTGTTCAATAAAATCTGACTTCTTATTTTTTCTAGTGGCCGACGAAATACATGTCTTATGTACGGTATATTATACGGTTTGTCTTGTATTACAAAGGTATGTTTTGCGGTTGTACTACAGCTATCATTCGATTGTTTACTCTAGTCTTTTCTTCTGCGTTTTGTAGCACTTTCCAAATTTTCATGTATTGTTCGCCGGTCGGTTATTGGCTGGTATGGCAACATCGATTTTGTTCAGTGCATTTGAATCATGGTTAATCAATGAATACCGAAGAGTGAGGATTTGAAACGTCCAACATTTGTTAAAAGGCTTTTTTGCTTCGCCTCCTTTTAAGAGAAATTATGAATCGGAAACATTGGGCATGATATTTGCGAATGCTTATTTCGGCAATTCAGTTGTTGCAATTATTTCTGGAATAATTGCTCAGTTAGCCGCAAATACATTTGGATACGTGTAAGCGAACTTAATTAGGCTTTTTTTAAACGAAACTCTTTCTTTACTGACCGAAACTCAATCGCTTCCATCACCAGTTCATATGACATTCAGAAGTATTAACTAAAAAGAAACGACTATTCATAAAAATTCACACACTGTTGTATGACTTATACAAAAATACCTTTTCTTTTCTTAGTGCTCCATTCGATAGTGCTATTATATCATTTATTGCCATGTGTATTCTTCTTGTAACAACATGGTCAGAGAATCATGGGGATGCTAATGCACCAATATCACAATCATTCATATCGGCATGGAATGCTATCATGTCTGGTAAGTCAAGTAGCCGAGAGAAGACAAGAAATGACATGTACTCTTGTTGTTTCATTTTAGATAAGAAAATCTTCTTACTTGGAGCTGTGCAAGCTTTATTTGAAGCATCAATGTATGTTTTTGTTTTGGAATGGACTCCAGCACTAACACAAGCTTTAAATAAGCCAGTTAATTTAACCGATAATAAAAATCCGCCCATTCCACATGGTTACATATTTGCTTCCTATATGGTAAGAATAATGAGATGTATGGTTACTTGTTTAAATTGAATGTATAGTATTTCTTTGTAGGTTGCCATGATGATGGGTTCGAACTCATTCAAATTGTTATGCAGCTATAGAACACCAGAATCATTTATGAGGTAATAAATATTGGTAGATAGAGAAAAGTCAGCACATTTAATTTTTCAATTTTTAATTTGATATTATCATTATTCAAGAGCTGTCTCCAGTGCAAACTCTCCATCCAATTATGATACATTATTTTTCTTTAGATCTATAATCAGTATTTCGGCGCTTTGTATAAGTATTCCAGTTCTTATGCCTTCGGTAAGTATCGAGTGTATTTAACGTGGAGCTGTTTGGAGTCGCATAGATAATGATTTTCTGCCTACATCATAAGCTTAAGTGATTGAATTAATGTAATATGAAAAAAGCAGCGTTCTTCTGGAAATATTAGTTCATTGAACGAGTTTTGTACTTTTTGGATTATAATGTTGATTAAAAAAATTAATCTTATCGTTGATGATTTTTTTAGGCACAAGTAACAATGTTTATTGCATTTCTTATATTTGAATTTTGTATTGGCGTTTTTTGGCCAGCAATGGCAACAATGCGAAGCAAATACGTTCCTGAAGAAGGTAAAATTTTATGAATAAATCAGAATTTATTATCGTTACCACTGCTTATTTTCTAGCTCGGTCAACAATAATGAATTACTTCCGTGTACCATTGAATCTTATTGTTGTTGTTATACTCTTGAAAGTACGTTGCTGAGTTTTGTGTCTTAAATCAAAAGATTTTATTGCTATTATTGTTCTTTTATAGGATCTAAAACTGGCAGTTATATTTACAATTTGTGTATTCTTCTTGGTTTTGGCTGTTCTCGCCATGTTTGTTTTACATAAGTATGAGGTTTACAGCACTTGTTGAAGAATGTTTGCATGATTTGACTTTCTAGACTAACATTGCGGTCAACGCAACCCTCGCCTGCAACAAGTGTATTAGCACAAGACAAACATCAGATGATAGGTAATGACTCTAAATTATTGAGTGCTGATACTGATGGTCAATTGCAAGCAACAGCCTCCATGGCTTAACAGAAAATTAGTTTTTCTAATAATATTTTTTTGGAATCTCACGCAAACATCTATTTCTGATACTTTTTTTGTTATTGTTGTTGTTGTTCCATTAAGGTGCAAAATGTATCGAACTATATCAAATTGATACCTTTTTGACCGTCCATTCTTTAAAGAGAAGTTACAATGTTTTTTTTTTTTGTTTTGTTAGTCTTAATCTGATATGAGAAATGACGAATATTTATTTTCTACGCAACATTAATAATTTTTATTTTAGTATTCTATAGGTTATGCATTTTGTCTCTCGTTTTTGTTTTCGTTTTGCTTATCAGAACTGTGATAAATGTGTCTGTGTTTTTGTTTATTTAGACTGAAAATATCTGATGACCAAGCTGTATGTGATGATTTTTTCCATCAACTCGTTGTAGTCTTTTTTTTGTTTGATGCAATCAAGACTTGAGTGACACTCTAACTACAAGGGAAAAACGTCCGTAGTTTTGTACTTTTATCTGGGGAAAGTAATCTTTTTTCGTTATTTTTATAAATAGTATACTTGTGACGGATCTGATGATTATTATTTTAGAACAGTATTTAAAACGATAGTTTATTCGTACATTTCGTTTTTGTGTTCATCTGTGTTTAGTGTATTTTATTATTTAATGAATGACACAATAATAAATAAAATGGTAATATTTAACAACTTTTTTGATTGTTTGTATATTCTTTTTATCTAACGTAATACCCATGAGATTATGTATGTTTTTATTGCTTTGAGAATTACAAAAACTTCAACAGATTTCAAACATGGTTATATATTTTGTCGAGAAAGAAGAAATAGACTGTATGAGATGCAGAAAAAACTTTGTGAATGAAAAAAGAGTTTCTGAAACACTTCGTCTTCTATGAGTATCGACGGACAGCATGCTTTCTATCTCGATTGTGTGTCTATAGATTATTTTTATCCATGTGACTCAATAGAACGTAAGCTCACAAATTCAATACAAAATAACATATTATGTTAAAAGCTTTTTTTTCTAACTGTATATTAGTTTCGCTCTTCTGAATGCAGCCTACAATATTATTATTCATTGTCTCTGTTCCTATTCCATGCTGTTCTTTTGGCCTAGGAAAATAATTAAGTACGGGTTCAGAAATGTTTTGATAAGGAAGCTGTTGTTTTTTTTTCTTCACCAAACAACTTTTTTAACCAAAGAGTGCAAACCAGTAGTAAAACATCAAATATTTTGAAAATACTTGCCCTCTCTTAAATCCGTCTCTGAAATAATCTCCTAACTTTTTAGATGCTCAAGTGCATCAGACACTTCGAGTTCTACGACTGCTTCTTTGAAACCATATGTCGGGTGACGATTAGTTATAGAGAAATGAATTAATTTGTCAATATTTTGCATCAGTTGTTATGCTTTCAAAGTATTTCTCACTCAAATATATTTTTTATGTCAATCGATTTGATCATAAATATTCTTTGATGTGATCCGTGACTTCCTCTTCATGTTATTCTCTGGTCACGTTTATGGTTAACGTGCGTATCACACCGTAACCGTAGATATATTTGTATTCCATGCATGATCGAAAACCAATCAAAAGTCCGTTTCATCTTTCTCGTTCAGTTTCGAATATTTTATTTATTTTATAATCGTGTGATTGTCATTTCTAACTAACATGACTAAAATATTAATTATCAGCAACAACTTTTATTATTAATTTTAGTTATATGTCGGTTCTTCTAACAATTGGTGATATCTATTTGCACTACAATTTTAAGTTTAAAATTCGACTAAAATTGTACATATAACAGAATAAAAGAAGGCGCGACAGAGAGTAAGAGAAAAAGGAATAGAATGTATCCATATGTATAGGTCCATGTGCTCTGATTCGTTTTTTTAAAAAAATTATATATTTTATCTACAATATCTGTACAAAAGAATAAGATCGATATATAACAGATAGTGCTAAGACGACGACAATTAGGAAACTTTGTTTAGTTAAAAAAGAAACATGATTATATCAACGGTCCCCGATATAAAGTTAAGGTAATTAAATTTTTTGTATTTTTGTATGATCGTTGTTTAATGATTTCATCTTCAAAATGAACTTCGTGCGATAGTTTAAATGTATGTAGATCATAGGTGTTCGATATATTTAAATACCCGTTGATTGTATGACACGTGAGTAACAAAAGTAAAAGCACTGTTTAAATAGAAGGCTTAAACCTGTTTTAGTACACTTCTATTGTCTTAGTTTCTGATTCTGACTATTGACAAATAAAGAATGAAATCAACTGTTTGATGACTTTCAGCGTACCTGATAGCAAGAAAACACGTGTTTACATTCACTGTCAATAGTTTTGTGGAGTAATGTTTCTCCAAACTATAGAAGTGTTTGATAGTTAGAATATTTTATTATATGATAGAAATGAAAAATTCTTGTCAAAAACAACGTAATTATTTTCTTATTTTGTCCACTTTTTCTTTTCTTTTCGTATTTCTGCAAGCGTTGATATCATTATGTGTTGCATCCATTTCACGTGTAATAAACTCTAACATGACAAAATTTTTTTCGTTTGTGTGAATGTGAACTGTCTAGAACTTCAAACCATCAAGAAAAAAGATAATCAAACTCTTTTATTCTGTCATTGAGTAGAAATCGTACCAAGTCAACTAGCGTTAACTGCTTGAGTATTGAATAATGGTCAACTCTGTATTTATTTTATTGGTTTAGACTAGTTCACCTGCTTTTCTTTCTGTTACAAACAATGGCTAGTGCTGCTCAGATACTTACTGTGATCACCATCTTATGTTTACCAATGATAACAATTGGATCGCTTGTTTTGTTATTAGCTGCATTAAATAAGTCTATTGGTGTTAGAAAAGTTTATGTTAAAATATTAGCATTTATATTTGATTATGCCACAAGAATTAAACGAAATAAAGAAATTACTATTGATCCAGAAGCGTCTACATCGGCCACCGACGATCCACCTGATAAAGAACGTTTAGTAAAGGAACCGGTGATTGAGAAATCTGAAGATGGACTCATTAATGAAGACACCACGATCATCGCTTCACCAACAGCAAAATCAAGTTCAAACTCATCACAAGAAACTAATGCAAATCAGCAACAAGAATCAGATAAATTAAGACAGAGGCGAGGACAAAAGACAACAGCAGACGAAACAGATTTAGAAAAATCAACGGGAAGCACTGGTCAAGGTGTTCAATTCAAACTTGGTATGTTTGATGTTTATCAGAGAGAGAAAAAAAGATCAAGTGATAAAGAATAAGAACTTATCTGATCCTTTTCTATTATTTTAGGTGATATAATGGATTATACTCGTCAAGGTTTAGAAGCGATCGTTGATGATGAAGTAACAAAACGTTTCACATCAGCTGAAGAAATGGCTGTATGGAATTTATTAACTCGAACTCAACAATCACATGAATTATTTTCATTACGTGTATCCCTATTATGGTTTCTCGGATTTATTGTTCGTTACTGTATTCTATTTCCATTTCGTCTTTGTTTATTTTGTTTGGCCATTTTTTGGATGATGGCTTCTGCATTGTTTCTGAAATATTTTCCGAATCCGGATACAAAATTACGTATTGGATTCTATGTTAACTTGGTTCTACATCGTATTCTTTCGCGAGTATTTTCGGCTATTATTACATTTCATAATTTGGAAAATCGAGCAAAACGTGGCTCGATTTGTGTAGCCAATCATACAAGTCCAATTGATGTTATTATTTTGTCGACCGATAACGGATTTTCAATGATTGGTCAACAACATGGCGGGTTTTTTGGCCTCGTACAACGAACACTATCTCATACGGCTAAACATATTTGGTTTGAACGAGCAGAAGCCAAAGATCGGCATATGGTGACCGAAAAAATGACAGAACACGTATCAAATAAACAAAATTTACCAATATTAATATTTCCAGAAGGTTAGTAGATCTAATTAAGAAGCAAGTTTTTTGAGCAAGTCTCTATGAAAGAAAGATGACTTTGTACACCAATCATGATTTACTCTTTTTTATTTGTTTTTTTCTCTTATTTTAGGTACATGTATCAATAATACAAGTGTAATGATGTTTAAAAAAGGTTGTTTTGAAATAACCGAGGCTCCTATTTATCCAGTTGCTATTAAATATGATAATCGTTTTGGCGATGCATTCTGGAATTCATCAAAACATGAATTATTTCAATATTTAATACTAATGATGACATCTTGGGCGATTGTTGTTGATGTTTATTATTTGGAACCAATGAAAATTGAAGAAGGTGAAACATCGATTGATTTTGCAAGAAGAGTAAAAGCAGCTATTGCTAAACAAGGTGGATTTGTTGATTTAGATTGGGATGGTGGTTTGAAACGTACAAAACCCAAAGCTGATTTCAAAGCGGAAGAACAACGAAAATTTTATGAAACATTAAAAACAGAATGAAATGAAAATAGTTAGAAAAAACTCGTCAATGTCTAGTCAGTGTCCGGTGATTGACGTTTTTTCTAGAAGGAAAGTCTCGTGCTCAATTACACTTGTTCTATAAAATTTTAAATCACAATGAAATATCCACCAATTTCCAACAATTCTTTTTCTTGTTTGGACTAAATTATAGAAAGAAAATATTTTTCTAACGTCTGTGTAGTCTTTCTCTAGTAATAGATTTTGCTACAAATTTTTAATCTTAACCATCAGATTATTCTAAACAAGTATAAAAATAGTGTTCTTAATTTGATTTCATTCGACGACAGTATTGCTCAAAGTAACAAGAACATAGAGAGTATATAATGAAATAAAGCATTTTAATTCATTGAAGATAGGTAAGCTACGTGATGAGAGAAAAAGAGAGAGGGAGAGAGTAATCTTTCATCTTATAATGGTCTTAGTCTCGTTTGGTTCATTCAAAGCTTTTTATTCCGGAAAATATTTTATGAAAATGATAAAACCGGCCAGTGGTTTAGTTGAAGAGGTGAGAATATTTTGAAGTTTTTTATTGAAAATAGTCTATGGTCTTTTTTCCCTTTTTTCTTTTAAAACGAGAACAATTTAAACCTAATACTTGCTTTAATTTTTTCACATCACCACTTGTACATGAATTCAATTTTATCTGCTTTCTTTTAGTCTCTCTAGTGAAACAATGAATTTTTTTTTATTATTATCCATTTTTAAGTTGTTCTCGTTATTTGTGTAGTTTATTTTTCTTTACCATATTTGTCTGTTATGTTGTTTTTCTAGCATTATTTCAATTAAACAATCTTTAGAAATTTTATTTTCTTGATCCATCTAAGATGTATCGATGAAGACGAGAATGCGCTCTATTCCCATGAAGAAATTTGTATTTTGTTTTAATCATATTTCAGATTTATTTGCCATTAATCAAGCCTTTTTTTTTTAATATGACAATGTCGACATCAGGAGCATTACCACGTTATAGTGAAAAATATTCTGATGGTCGATACGAATATCGACATGTTGTAGTATCAAAAGATTTAATACGAACGATACCATCAAATCGTTGTATGGATGAACATGAATGGAGAGCATTAGGCATCAGACAAGGTCTCCATTGGGAACATTATATGATACATAAGCCAGGTAAGAATATTATGCTTTGTTTTTGATCAGCTGTGAATCGTCAGAAACCTGATCAAAATATAATATAAAAACGGTTAGAACACGTGCCTATTGGAGTTTTCGGTCTAGACTCGTTTTTATCGATTATATGTAGAGGAAAGGCAGATGAAAGACAAATAGTTTTTATTCAAAAACACATATAAGTCTCAACTGGGATTTGAAGGCTTTTTATTCAAGAAACACTTTCAAGGAAAAATATTTAAGGTCAAAGGTTCTCTATTTAGAAAACACTTTGACGCTCTTTTGGTTTAAATGCTTGTTCAAGTGCAGATATGTTAATGTTGAACACATATCACTTTATTTTCAAAATAAAGCTCATCAGCAATAAAAATCTCTTTAATATGCGTTTATAATAAGCCTACAACATTAACTTATCTGCACTTGAACAAGCATTTTACACAAACAAGCATTCAAACCAAAGTGCGTCAAAGTGTTTTCTGAATAGAGAACCTTTGGTATTCCTTTATCTTTTCATTCTTGTAGTGAGTTGGGTAAGATTTATGCTTAATCTAAAAGTATAATTACGTTTGATTTCCATTCAGAAGTATGTAGGTTATTTAATATAACCTTAAATTGACCTTAAATATTTTTCCCTGAAAGCGTTTTTTTGACTTAAAAAGTCTTCAAATCCAGTTGAGACTTAGATGTGTTTTTGAATAAAAACCATTTGTCTTTCATCTTTCTTCCTTCTGCATATAATCGATAAAAACGAGTCTAGACCGAAAATCCCAATAGGCACGTGTTCTAACCGTTTTTATATTATATTTCGTTCAACCAGAATTATTGTAAAATTGTTTGTATTGAAGTCAACAACAATTTTTCTGTTTATTTAAGCTATTCATACAAATTCAGATCGTCGTTGATTATCTTTCACGGTCGGATAGAGAACTTAGAATTTTGAGCAGCTTCAATAAAAGATTTATAAGATTGCTAAATTACCAGAACTTATCTATGACAAGGAATGCACATAGTTTTAAATTCTCCTATAAAAACTGATACTGGATTACTCGTTACGAGTGTTAGTTTTCGTAAGAATTTGATAGTTAAAACCATGAATTAAGAAGAATACAGCTGATTAGATTATGCTTTATAGCGTAGAAATATAGCATAAAATTCAAGGCATGAAATTTTCAAAGCTCAGAATATAAAAAAAAGTTTTTTTTAAATTTTATATCTATTTTTTAGAGCCACATGTTCTATTATTTCGTCGTCCTCTTCTCTCCCAATATACTCAACCAATTATTGCTGATTCAACAATGAAAATGACTGACCAACATGCTCCACCAGTCCTTGGATTAAAAGTTCCATTGCGTCAATTATCTGTCAATATTTCATCAACATTTTAAGTTATTTTAAAAAAAACAACGTTCAGTGACTTTTTTAACTTTTTTCCCTTGAATACGTCGAACTATCAATATTGTCAGATATTTTTTTATATTTCGAAAAGTACAAGTCAGATTTTTAAAGTTTTCTATCTTTTTTATGTTGTCTCTTTTTTCTCTGCTTATTGTCAGTGACATATATTTTTGATCATTTTCTCCCTCAAAATATTGATTCAACTAAACATGTCTTTTTTGAAGTTACCAGTGGGACATTTATTGTCTAAGAGGAGTCCTATGTTGATGCACACAGTATTTGACATCACAAACTAACTCTTTGTTTATAAGTGATCCTTTGAGTAAATTCATCAATTTTAGAATGCTAAATATTTGCCGAGTGATTTACAAAAATCTGTGAATAGAAATAGTATGATAGGTGTAGTTATTTGAAGTAGTCTTATTTTTTGTTTGGAAAGAATATCTCGTTGTTTTTTTGATTGATTTATCTGTTTATCTATTTATAGAACAAAACACTCAAAAATTGCGCGTTTTCTCAAAGCATTTTTTCGATGTTTTTGTATTGATATTCTATTTCCTTCAACTACAAAATTCTTTAGAATTACTATTCTTACACACTCATTTGTTGAAAAATTGTAAACAAACAAATAATAATGGCTGCTAAAGAAGTAGCAAATAAAGATAAAGAGAGCCAAAAAGAACAAATTTATTATTCAGATACGTATAAAGATGATTTATATGAATATCGTCATGTTATTTTACCGAAAGAAATAGCAAAAAAGCTTCCAAAAGGACGATTATTAACAGAAAATGAATGGAGAAATCTTGGTGTTCAACAATCATTAGGTAAGAAAGAAAAACTTTAATCTCTCCGGCATCATGTTTACAATATGTGTGAGAAAAAATTGAGGATTAAGAGTATTTGTATTAAGAGTGAAACTTTGAAAAGATCAAAGAAAATATGACAATTATTTTTTGTTCTAGGTTGGGTTCATTTTTTAATTCATGATCCAGAGCCGCATATATTAATATTTCGTCGTTCGTTAAAAGTTAGTCAACAAATTCAACAGCAACGTCAACAACAACAACAGCAGCAAGCACAAGCCGCCGTATATCATGCAAATGCGATGCATATGAAATAAACTTATATTCCTACTGATCTCTTTTTAAGAAGAAAAACGCTCTCTGCGCTTTTCTTTTCCTAATTGTCTACTTAGTTTTCATATTTTTTCGTCTTTGTGCTAGTCAGATAATACTCCTCAGATGTTCTTATAGGGTTATGTAATTGTGTATGTATGAATAGTGAGTTGTGTATGCTTTTTTTTGTTTTCTTTCTCCTCGTCTAGTTGGTTGAATTTTTATTTTTTTTCTGTTGGCTTTTGTGATCACATTCTGTTCTGTGCATATGAGATATACAGATAAATGATATACTAAAAAGATGCCAAGATGATGTACTTGTATTTTTCTTTTCGTTCATTAAAAAAAAGGTTTTCTTTTCTTTGTTCCTTTGTTTAATGAAAAGGGTGTGATGAAAAAACAATAAATGATATCTATTTTTAAGTTCTAAATATACTTTTAAGTAGTTAACTAGAGAAAGAAATGTTGGAAATTTTGTTTAATTTAATATTCTGATCAGATTATGATGGCTACTTGTTAGTTCAATATAACTGTTAGCTAGAAAATGATGATCAATGAGTTTCTCAAGCATTATATAGTAATTATCAGAAAGACTATGAATAACTATGCTATACTTATATAATGTAGTTGAATGTGATAAAATATTTCGTGTTTAAATCAGATGCGAATTTACGTTTCTTCACAGACAGTTGAGTAAAGATGACTATGATCGAGTTTACTCCCATTCATAGAATATCAACAATGAACACTATAAATATTATAACTAAACGTTTGCTATACTGAACAACTTGATCTCCATTGAAACAGGCAATATAGTTTGTTATCGTTATCATAGTCATAAGTAAGAAAAACGTCGGAATAGTAGGCTCAACTACTTTCTCTATGGATTTTAGTTTTCTTTTCTTGTTTTGCATAAAAAAGAATTGGAATATATTTGAAAATTGTAGATGAGAGTTAAATAACAAACTTACATCTTGATAATATCTTTTCCATTAACTCTTCTATTGAATTTAAGACATTTTATCATAAATTTGCAGAATGATACATCACATTGTCGGTTGAAAATTTGCGTAGGATAGATTGAAAGTGTCTGTTACAGACAATTTAACGATTGTGTTTGTATATAAATCGCTTTCTAACGATAAAAGATTCTCATTAGCGTTATCGTTGTATTCATATGAAGTCGAAATAGATTTGGCTGGAGTTTTTTTGCAGACGAGTTGAAGAAAAATCTTTTTTGCAAGTTACTTATTAGCATAAGGACATGACTAATTCGAAAATATCTCTTGTCAGGTCTTTT